AAAATTTTTCCATACTTTAAAAGTAAACTATGATAGTTATGTACATCAAGGTGGTAGCCTGCTGCTATATGTTTATCATTTAGTTTGTTTTTATGGCCCGCCACCCCTCAGTGCATGACACTGTAGGGTACATCCACCCTCATTTCAGTACAATAGACTCATCCAGTAAAAATAACACTGCACAGCCATTACAGGGTTGCCAGATAGTTTGCTTCTCTATGCATTCTACAGTGCATTTCACTTTACAACAGAACACTTCATTTATATTTGTGTCAGTGAGTAAAGAATTCCTAAAACCTACCATTACCTGAACATAATTGATATATGACTATAAAACACTTCTCAAAAGAAAAATATATTTAATTTCAATGAATTTATGATTAATTGATGATATACACTGTAAAAATGATCTTTTTAAGTTTTCAATAAAACAAACACTATTGGAGTTTTTACGAAAATATTCTTTAACAAGAAATTAGTATTTCATTCTTTTTACCTCAAAATGTAATGTTATTTGCTGTTTCTTTGTAATTATTTGTAAATTTATCAGCAATTTCTGAGTGAAAACTGTCTCACCTCCAAATTCGTTTCAGTGTACTGACCCTAGCAGGGAGTCTTATTTTCATCTGAACATAAAGTGTAGTCCCTATTATTTGTCCTATGAAGTGCAATGGTTTTGCATGTTGTATTGATAATAATTTGAGTCTTTAAATGTCTATTGATGATTCCATTTAGATATAGATCTTCAATGATAAAGGTTGTTATATTTTTCATATATACACAATATATGCTTAAACATTTGAAAATGGACTATAAAAGAAGGATTTCATTTATTTCAGATGGAATTTTCCCTAAATGCTACGCAATGTCTAAACAAACTGTGATGGTTGCTTTAAATATCAGTCAGATGATCCCTTCCCTTCTAAGTAGATGTTTTGTTTTGTTGTTTCCAGAATAAGCTGCAATATGGACCAGGCTGTATGCCATTTCATCAAAGGCAACATACGATGACAGCTAAGTTAATTTCTTAACCTTGAATATGATGCACATTTTTCAGGTCAAACCAGCCATTTATTTTATTATTTTTAGTTTTCGCTCCAACCTTTTCTCAATCTTTAGATCACTTTCAGGTCATTCAGCATTGCAGTAATGTCTATTTGAGGCACACATGGTGCAGTCTGGGTGTTGGCACGTAGTGTCTTCTGTAGGTCTCTTGCTGTCTGCTGTAACGCTTGTGGAATGCTGTGAGGTTTGTGTCCCTCCCCTGCACTTCTGCAACACAGCAGCACCTCATTGACTTCACCCTCGATTCCACGAGAGAGCACACACGGGAACACGGCTCGAACACGTTCGAGAACTGACTTCCTGAGAGCCGAGTCACGACACACTAGGTTCAACATGAATAGTCCTGTGGGGGAAAGAAAAGAAGAGTGATCATGGGGGGGGGAAAAAGCCAGATGTCTGAAACTGATCATACAACACTAAGTGCTTACCTCGAGGGGTTAATAAGCTGTAAACTTTCTTCAGAAGTGATGTTTCTACAAAGGCAGATGGAGGGCAGCTCATGCCCAGGGTCGTGTCTTTGCTGTCAACGTCAAACATGATGACATCAAAAGAATGTCCTCCTATATAAGTGCAGAAAAAATAATATAGTAGATATAGTAACATAGTAGATAATATAGTAGAGAAAGAATAGGCTATCTGGTGCAATGCAGTCTGCAATGCAATCTCTTCCACATAAAACATGACCAATAGATATCATGATTCTCCCACGCATCAAGAAGCATAACAAATCATCATCATCGTGTAGATGAATGCAGATTATTTATATTTTGATTTGCTAAACTATTGAAATCTACAGTATACATTATTTGTACACAGATCAATTATGTTGTCTCATTTTTTATGACATTAAAGCACTCGCTAACTTTTTTTTTATTTTAAGAAAACCTGATGAGTCCACAGTAGATCAGTCATTTTTAACCAAAGGGCATCAGCAAAATCAGCAAACCTCAAGATGACTTAAAATTATTTCAAATGAGACAAAATAAATGTTAATGAGCTAAAACACTATAGATATTTATTGCAATTAACTTCCTCAATAACATTTTTTTTTTTTGGGGAAAATCTGGATATATGAGGTAAATTAAAAAAAATTATTTTCAGGCTGGCAAAGTCATGTAAATTAATAAAATCTCACACAATAAACAGCATAGGCTGTTTTTCAACGGATATACATTTAGTTATGCCAAGCTCTAAAATTGTTGAAATTGAGAGCAAAACTGATTTTTAAAAATCTTTATCCTTCTCCAGTAAATCACAAACAAATGGAAAAGGCATGGGGTCTTCGACTATTGTTATGGATAACAGGAGGCTTTATAGTCAAAAAGGTTTAGAATGACTAAATCTAGATGTTCTCTCACCCTTACTCTCCAGAGTTTTGATGTGCTCCAGTCCATCTCCAAGTATAACTTTCAGTCTCTCGTCAGTCTGAAATCCAAACCAGGACTGAGCCACTTCCAGCACAGCTGGGTCCAGTTCAACCACCTCAACCCGTGCAAACGGCACAAAGTCATGCACAAACTGGGGTAAACCACCGCCACCTAGTCCCACCAGTAACACAGACATTGGGTGATCTGTTGGAGAACATGTGACAGACATTGTTTTTGTGAATTATGCAAATCGTTGAGAGAACTGACATTCAACACATAACAGTGGTCCATATGATTCATGCACTTCTTTGATTAAGGAATAGGCCATTTAGACAATTCTGGATACGTGCTAGTAGAGCTGCACAATTCTGGATAAATGCAGAATTACGATTGTGATTGTCACTGTTTTTGTTTAAAACAGATATCACGATTCTGAATAGACAACTACAACAAAATAACATGTCATTTATTAGAGATTCTGACAAAATGTTAAATGCTGCAGTCTATTCTACAATTATCTAGAATTTTAATTGTAGTTATATCTAATTGCTTAAAATTTTTTTTAACTCTATTTGAATGCATGAGTCAATGACTTACTCGTTAAAACCTAACTTGAATAAATCAGCTTTTTTGAACAAATCTCTTGAATTAATAATTCAATTACAAATTAAAAATTTTATCAGTCACTTGTCGCCACCTACTGGCGTAACGAAACATTGATACAATCTTTATTTGAAGTCACTGTTTAAACGGTGATTTATTTACTTTATTTTTATCACTACCGTAGAACTACCAGTGTTTTTATCCAAACTAAAAAAAAATTATCACAGTCCTACTGTGATAATTCGGCTTTTTGTAACACAGAAATAACAATACTGTGTGGTTTAACTATTTGTGAAGCTGTTTCATACCTAAACATGACAACTGTTATCTCTGGGTCACCGGCAGCATGAATGCAGATTTTATTGTTCTGTTGTGATCGTACTTGTCAAGGGGTTCATAGACATCATTATTATTTAGGAATAAGATTGTGTGGGTGATTAATCGTGCAACTCTACAGGCTAGATGCAAGATTTAGGGAAGGGCAAAATTTTCTGTTCGTTCCATACACAAAGCTATCATACTATGCAATATAACACACACACTACACATTTTTATGAGGATGTTATTTATTTTTGGACAGCCCCTGGTCACTATGAACTGATGTTGTAGGACAAAAGCTGCATAACGATTCTTTCAAAATGTCTACTTCTGTGTTCCATGAAAAAAATACTGTAACAGTACATTATATGTACACGAGCACATTACAACCTCATTTTTGGGGGTGTGAACAATTTTTTCTTTAATTTCTGTTGTACTAGTAGCAGCAGAATTGCAAACAGAACTGCAAACATGATACACGTTGCTCAAAAGAGCCACAGTATATACACTCTTAAATGAATAGTTGTAATATTATTAATTAATTTGTTACATAGCCATTAAAAAGTATGGGGTCAGTAACATTTATTTATTTATTTATGGAAATAAATTAATATTTTTATTCAGGAAGGACAAATTAAATCAAAAGTGACATAAATAGTGTCACAAAATATTTCTATTGCAAATAAATGTTGTGCTTTTTAATTGTCTATATATCACAGAATCTTGAAAAAAAAAATGTATCATGGTTTCCACAAAAATATTAAGCAGCATTTTATAAATAAAAGAATAAAAAATAAATAAAAAAGTACATTTTAAAATATATTAAAATTTAAAAGAGTTATTTTTTTAATTGGCATAGCAGTGCCAGTACAAAATATTTCTGTTTTTACGAAACATAAAACAGTCTTCTTTCAAAAAATCTTATCGACCTCAAACTTTTGAACAGTAATGCATACTTCAAGCAAGGCTTATATTGTTGTATGCATATTTAGCCAGAATATGGCTATAGTACTTTAAGTACACACCTCATAATTAACACCTTTAATTAAAAAGTTAAACGATACCACTGCTTTCGAATGTAAAATTTCTAAACTTTCACTAAACTTTTTAATGTTAGCACACTTACCTTTATTATTGATTGCATCCATTCCTAGCATGGCTAAACCCGCCACCATGACTTCATGGTGTGTACAGCAGAGAAAACCTCTGTCCGCAATGCGATCTTTAGCATCTGTTAAAGCAGGGGCTTCAGAAACAGACGGTTTGGATTTTTTCTTGTTCTTCTTTTTATGAGCAGAAGAAGCTAGCAAAAGAGACCAAACACTGAAATAAATCTCCAGTTGTTCTATAAACATTTCAGAATTCAAGCACAGCGGTACCACACCTGTGACGGCAGACCGCAGTCTGCTTTCTGACTGCACCAGCTGGGAATTGTTCATGAAGATGAGCCTGCGATAGAGGTGACCATCCTCTCCTCTCACATCCTCCACAGAATACTCTCCAGTCAAAGCACTGACCCCTCGTCCGATGACTTCCCTCCACCCCAGATCTCCTCCCACAGACAGGAACGGCACCTATACCAGAGGAAATGTGAAAGAGAGTGCATGACTGAGGAATGAGGACAATATAAAGCGCAATACAGATGCATTTTACTCTTGTGCACCTGCTGATTGGCTGGCATTCCAGGAGGAGCGAGTTCCATCACCATTGGAGAGAGCTCTGATTGGACAGCCTGCATGTCCTCATACTCCTGATCTCGATGCATTGCCACAATGACCAGGCGTCTGAATTTTGCACTGGATGCTAATTGAGTCCGACCTTCAGCAGAGCCATATAACCAATCAGACTCACGGCCCTGAGGAACTAAAAATAAAAATATATTAATGAAAAAAAAAGTAAAATTGTGTATACACACACACACACACACACACATATATATATATATATATATATATGTCTGAGTGTTTATATATATATACATATAAACAAATAAAAAATTTTTTTTTAATATCTGTTATATTATAATATTTATTTTCTTTATATATATTAATCTGCAATCCTTTGATTTGGCTTGAAAAACTAAGCCAAATCAAAGTCATGTGCCAAAACAAATTCAACCAACAAAATCATGCAAAAAATAAATTAATTAATAAATTAATTGATTAATTAATGAATTAATTCACCTTGGAAAATACATGTAAAGTGTATTATTATTATGATGAGTACATGCATATCTATTCAAGGTGTAACAAAGTATGTTATTACTTTTGTACTTTATGGTTATACCACATTACATTTTTGAGTCATACATTTTTTTTTTCTAAACCAACATAAATACAAACAGTTTTATGTTTTTATCACGGACACTTTTGACAGTATTTAGCTATTCGAACTTACACTTATATGATAAGAGAGAACATTATACAGAAATATCTAATTGCTTAATTCTGCAGTTAACCAATCAGATTCAAGAATTCCATAAATATTTGTAATAGTGCCTGCCCGCATTCTACATTTAAGAGTTAAAAGCCATGAACCAAACCTACAAAGGTGAATCACAATATTACAAATTGATTAGTGAAGCAAAGACGTATTTTAAAACTGGACAAAAAGGCAACGGTACAAAACTCTGTACTTTAATCAGGGAAAGAGCTACAATCTGATGAAGCCTTGCGAATGACTTAAATGTTCTTTTGGCATAATTTGCTTGTTTCGTGGAAATTTCGTTGCAGAATCATGGGTAATGTAGTGTTTCACCATGAACCTGATTGTTAAAAATTATTTTAAAAATATGTTGAAATAACACAGGCTGACGGCTTCAACAAAAGCATATGCTAATTAATAACCTTGCAGCTCCCAGTAGAACTGTCTTGAATGGTTTATAAGTCACCATAAAAAATCAGTTCTGCTATGGAGAAAATGAATGTGATTTTTACTTTCGAAATCCAACTGCTGCACTCTCTGTATAGGTAACTATACTTGGCCTATGACAGTGATCATCACATTGAAAACGCAAAAGAACCAAATGCTCACCGATAAAGATGGCGAAGTGATTACTCCGTGGCAGCTTGGCAGAGGGCAGGCTATCCTGCACCGTCAGAGTGTATCGAGGCCAGCCAGTGGCTGCATGGCACAGCGTGAGGGATGGTGTGCTGTTAGCGTCTGTTCCACCTCTGAGCTTATGCAGCATTAGATTGTAGGCCTGTCTCTCCTTCACAGCGGACAACAGCTCTGGTACTGATGCAAGTCTAGCAGGAGCGCCATCCTCCCCCTGACACAACTCAAGCACTGCAAACGGGGGCGCTTGGCGGAATTTGGTGCAAACTAGAACGAATACAGGGAGGGCAAAGGAGGAATCAGACTCTTCATTCTGCTGTCCACTAAGACAGTGAATTCGTACAGCCCAACCCTGGGCGAAATGTTCCACAGCCAGCTTTATGACGTGCTCCTGGGCTAAAGTTACGCAGACATACCGGCCTCCCACAGCCAAAACTCTGCCAACTTCTGCCAGCATCCTGCCTGCAAGTGCACCGTCCTCTTCTGAAGCCATGGCATCGAGCGTGCCCTTATCTAGTGCCGCCTGAAAGCTCCCGCTCTCAAAGCCTGTCTGGGTGGCATCCAGCTGCTGGAAGGTCAGGTCAGGACGGTGCTCTGCGTTCCGCTGGTTCATGTGAGACACCACCGTCTCGCTGATGTCAATGTTGGTTAACTGACGGTAGCCAACATCATAGAGCTGTTCACTCAGCTCAGAGTTACCACAGCCCACCACCAACACCTGCAGCAGAGAACAAGAGTTACAATTCTAATTCTAAGGTTACCTAACTCTCATCTACATGATGTTTATTCTTATTTTTATTTATCAGAAAAAAAATTCATTTTTTTTATTTTCGGTTCCTTTATTGGCTATTAAAAACTAGTTCAGTCGATATTTACTGAAAATCTTGAAATCCCAGATATCCTAGCTCTTCTTAGCATGTTCATGAAGGAAGTACAGAATTATCAAAAGAATCATTCTGTAGATTTTCAATGAATCAGTTGCTACAGTTCACAAAACTGGCTTAGAATCTGGTTTGAACCACTTTAATCATATATATTTAATAACTTTTACATCATTTGTAAGTGTGAAAAAGAACAGATCAACCTGTACAGTTCTTCAAAATTTCTCAATTTTGTGTTCCAAAGAGGAAAGAAAGTAATGTTTGAAATTAAATGCATTATGGCATTATATAAATTTTTTAACGTTCAAAAGTTTCGGGTTGGTATTTCTTAATAAAAAGAAAATACAGTAAAAAAAAAAAAAAAAGCTGAAACTGTGACACATTCCAATTTAAAACAATATGATTCTAATTTAATATATTTTAAAATGTAATTTATTCCTGTGATGGCAAAGCTGAATCTTCAGCATCATTACTCCAGTCTTCAGTGTCACAGGATCTTATGCTGATTTGGTGCTTACGATGTCTTAGTTACCTTATCACGAGGTTTAATGTATTTATGCAGTACACCGCAGAGGGAGTTGTAGTCTCCGTACCACTCGAAAGCCTTCTCTCCTCTTTTACGGAAAAAGCGCTCCCAGTAGTCCGCCGAGCTGAACTCCTCAGCGGTGCGAGGCAGTAAGCTCATGCTTATGGATCGGATCCTCCAACTCCTTCTCAATTCAGATTTATCAGATTAATTATAACCTTTTTCCCAGGCCGATAAAACTAACTTAGTACTTTAATGGGCAAATACTGCCGAAATTATTTCTATTCTGCAGTCGTTGACATGTGAAAATGCTCTCTCACAACTCACATGTTTTGCACTTTCCACCCGGAGTGGTTTTACAGAAGGACGGCATTGAGCATCCAGCGATTGGTCAGTGTATGAGGAGGGCGTGTCTAGAGTGTGGCGTAAACGTTCCCTGATTGGTGAAAACTTAAGATCGATGAATACGATTGGTTTATGGAATGACAGAGCCGAATGTTTTACAGTTCCGACAGTAAGTTGTGTGGCCGAAACAGGCTGAAGCATGGCAGTACCTACCGGCAGAGCTGTGGTATTCGTTACCGGGAACGCGAAGAAATTGGAAGAGGTGAGAGTGTGGCTGTTTAAAAAAAATTGAGTTGGCCACAATTTATCCAATTTAAACACAATGTAGAACAAAATGTGAATAAGTGTCTTGTCTTGCTTTGCTTTGAATGAGTAGTATCTGCTCACATGCCGCGAAACACTGTAAGATTTGATCTATGAAGCATCATCATTTAAATAGTGAAATGCCAAGTCCAGTCCTCACTCCTAAATAAACGCCTATTTAGTTAGTGGTTTATATAGCCTTAAAGACAATTTTTATATTCAAATTGACTTAATGTACACGTTCGAGCTATTTGCACGAATGAGCAACAAAACAATGCCTGAAGATTTTTAAATGTATATACCATATATACACACACACACCATATATACAGGTACATCTCAAAAAATTTGAATATCATGAAAAAGGTCAATATATTTTGTCACTCATTTCAGACAGTGAAACCCATATATTATATAGATTCATTACACAGAGTGAAATATTTCAAGCCTTTATTTCTTGACATTTTGATGACTATGGCTTACAGATAATGAAAACCCAAAATTCAGTGTCTCAGAAAATTAGATTATTACATAAGATTAATAAAAAAAAAAGGATATTTTAAACCGAAATGTCAGACTTCTGGAAAGTATGTTCATTTCTATGCACTCAATACTTGGTTGGGCCTCCTTTTGCATGAATTACTGCATCAATGCGGCGTGGCATGGAGGCAATCAGCCTGTGGCACTGCTCAGGTGTAACGGAAGCCCAGGTTGCTTTGATAGCGGCCTTCAGGTCATCTGCATTGTTGGGTCTGGTGTCTCTCATCTTCCTCTCATTAGATTCTCTATGGGGTTCAGGTCAGGCGAGTTTGCTAGCCAATCAAGCACAGTAACACCATGGTCATTGAACCAGCTTTTGGTACCTTTGGCAGTGTGGGCAGGTGCCAAGTCCTGCTGGAAAATGAAATCAGCATCTCCATAAAGCTTGTCAGCAGAAGGAAGCATGAAGTGCTCTAAAATTTCCTGGTAGATGGCTGCATTGACTGCACGAAAGAAGATTACAACTAAAATTTTGGAGGGTTACAGCTGTCAGAATTTAGTAAGAAGTGAGGCCTTTGAATGACTTCAGCACATCTGCGGCTGCAGGACATCATTAGTTTCTCAGACTGCGCTGGTGTGATCTTGGTCCACTCTTCTTCCAGTCTCTTCCACAGTTCGGTAACTGTAATGGGTTTCTTAGCCATAACTTTGTCGCCAAGGATTTTCCAGAGACTCAATCAGGTTTAGATCAGGACTTTGGGCCGGCCATTTAATTATTTCAATGTTTTCAGCTTCAAGGAACTGCTTTACCTGTTTTGCAGGTAGTTCAGATCCTTGGTGACAAATTTCCCTACAAACTGATTTCCAAGAAGATTGACTGTAAGTATTTGGCTATTATTGTTCTGCTTTGTTGATTTACAATATCAAGCATGCTGTTGCTGTATTTGTTATGTGATTATGGCTTCTCTTCCAGTGCCTGAATATCAAGGGGAACCAGATGACATTTCTATACATAAATGTCAAGAAGCAGCAAGGCAGGTTTGTAAATTGCGCACCTTTTGTACTCTGTTTCCTTGGTTGAAGCCTCAGACATGATGTTGTGTGTTTTGTGTGAAGGTGGATGGGCCAGTGCTGGTGGAGGACACCTGTCTGTGCTTCAGGGCACTAGGAGGACTACCAGGACCTTACATGTGAGTCTCTCTCAAGCTCCTTTAAAATCTATAAATATAAAACAGTGATATGGTGTATGTATACTGCACAGTGCATTAAATAATTTATATTAATTAATTATAAATATTTTTCCCTCCACAGAAAATGGTTCTTGGATAAACTGAAGCCAGAGGGTAAGACACTTTAATAAAGATTTAGGTTCCTACTGAACCTACTCCTATTTTAGTTTAATTTTCAGTCATTTTTTATCTTTTTTTTTTTTTTTAGTTTTAGCTTTAGTTCAGTTTTTGTTTTTGTTCTTTTCAAGTTAGTAATCTTAATTATTTCAGTTAGTTGCAAAGTCAGTGTTTCTAATTTTAGGGTTTTTACCCTTAATATTATTATTTTATGTTATTTTTATTTCGCTTTATTTCTTAATAAGCCATATTTACTGCAGAGGCTAAATTAGTAATATGCAAATTGAGCAGTTTTCTTTATGTTTGTAGGATTGTGTAAATTGCTAGCAGGGTTTGAGGATAAATCTGCCTGGGCTCTGTGTACATTTGCTTTCTGTGCTGGAAAAGACAAGCCAGTTCAGCTGTTCAGAGGAATAACCGAGGTGAGCATGTTTATTTACTGTCCCTTCCCAGTCGTGATGTAGTGGTTTTTACATTGAGCTTTGGTGCTCATACAGGCATTGTAAGATTGAGACTCTTATTATTTCTCTCATATTGTTTCCCCTCTCTTTTCGCCATCATTTTCTGTCTTTACTATCATTATCAATAAATAAACTGAATCCAGATGTACTGTATATAAGCACCACAAATGTATGTACACTACCACTCAAAACTTAAGGGTGAGTAAAATGTTTGAATGTTTTTGAAATAAGCGTGTTATGCTCACCAGGGATACATTTATTTTAAATAACTTCTATTTAAGGTTTTCTATTTTAATATATTTTAAATGTAATTTATTCCTGTGATATTCAGCATCATTACTCCAGACTTAAAGGTCCCATATTGTACACCTTTCTGGAGTTTTATTTGAGGTTTTGATGTCCTTAAGAATATATATTTGCGGTATAAGTACCAAAAACCATCTCAATATATTTTTACAGCTCTTTTCTCAGGAGCTATGCTGAGAACAAGTCGATTTTGGTCTGTCTAATTAATATTCATGAGCATCTCTTCTGATTGGCCTGTTGTTTTCTGAGTGACGCACGGCCAGGCCAATCACAGGTAACTAGGGTCAGCCGACATCACAGCGCTAGCTGGAGGCAGCAAAACAAAGGGGAAACTGGAGGCGGCCCATTCAAACCAGCGCACGTTCGGCTACATAAAGAGCTTAACATATCATCTT